GCACTATAACAAGCAAATTTTTTCTAGGGGGATTTAGGGTGAAGTCTGGGACAAATGTGTAAAACAAGTAAGCTATGAAAAAATACCAGCAAGGGAAATAAAATAATGATGAGCAGGTATTTTGCTTTATCTACATTTCAAAGATGATAGTTAACTTTTGATTGCTTACACGAGAAGTGTAGAGAATGTATACTAGTTCACATGAACAAATATTTATTTAGTGCCATCACCAGGAACAAAGATGGTAGCTGGTATTTTACACTTTGTCTTCAGGAAGGCCTGTTTGACTTGATTTTCCTCTCTACCTTGAGAGACTTGAGGTTGCTAAGCCACTGTGGAGAAAGGAACTTGTGCTGGAATTGCTTTTCTAGATCTGACACTGCCCTAGAATCCCTAGTTCTTCATTTTTGTTGAATCATCCTAGGGTGTGTTGTGGCAATGAACTATAAAAGATTGTGCCGTGACCATCCATCAGTGTCTAATTGACTGGCTGATTCACTAGGGAGGGCAGTTACTGTAGGTAGCTAGTGTGTTCCTAGTAAAGATGAGGCTGAAGTTACTCTCTGACTCGCTCTGAAAGAATCATGTTGAGGGTTAGGGTTATCATGTTGAAAATAAAATTACAAGCAAAACCTTGTTGAGTCTTGGCAGAGAAGCAAAATTTAAATGCTAAATTATGAACTCCGCTTTGGGGCTATGCTCTTGCCAGAACCCCCTTATTTTGATGCTTTTTAGCCCAATGTTATTTATTCTCCTAATGTCCCTTCTCTTGGGATTCTTTCCAGTAAAGTACATTCAGAGCAGTCTATTATATTTACTTTACTCTATTTTATAAGGGTATCATATTTTATTTAAGCATCCTATTACTGATGGTCATGTATGTTGTTTCCAAACTTTGCTCTTACAATGAAGTCTTGTAATGAATATACCATTTTATTTGAAACCTTTTCACTTATATGGAACCATTTTTGTGGGATAATTACTTACAAGTGGAACTTCTGGATCAAAGGGTATGTGCATTTCTGTTTTTGAAAGATATTGCCCAATTGTCCTTCAGGGAATTTGTATCAATTTTCATTCTGTTAGTGATGATTCAGTGTTTCTCCATTATCTGCCTATTTTTAGTAATTAATTATTTTAACATAATTTCAGACATTAATGAGTATTCAATATCCATATCAGGAAATTAGCATTAATAGTTTCTCAATCTTTTGTTTGTTTGTTTGTTTCTATGACATTAACACTTTTGAAGAGTCTGGGACAGTTATTTTGAAGAATGTCTTTCAATTTGGGTCTATCTTTTCTTTAAAACAAAGAATCAATGTCAAATAACTCAAAGCAAAAAAACAAGGAAAAATTGCCAAGCATAAAAAAGAACAAGCAAAATAAAATTTAAAAATGTAGTTAATAAGAATACCTATCACTTTTTAATTTTTATTTTTATTTTTACTACTTAAGCATTTTTTTGACACTTACTTGATGCCAGATATCACTTTCCTGGTGATAATAGTCAGCATGTGCTGGATGTCAAATATGTGGCAGGAAAAATACTAAATGCTTTATATGCATTACCTCATGTTCCTCATAATAATCCCCCATATTATGGATGATTACATTATGGTACACAGAGGCAGAATGGTTTCTGTAAGGTCACAGAATTAGTTCTCTCTCTTCCCTTCTTTTCAAGTCACAAAAGTCATACATGCCCATGGCAGTAAGTCAACCTAATCCAGAGGGGGGTATAGGAAAAGTAGAGTGCCTGGCCTCTCTCCAGTGCCCCACACCAGAGGTAACCTCTAATAACAGTATTTAATTCCAGACCTTTTCTATTAGAACCAAGATTTGAATAAAACCTTTCTGAATTCAAAGCCTTTATTCATAATGAGTATTCAGTGTTGTCTCCTATATGCAAATAGAAAATTACATAACTATATATATTTTATTAAATAAAATGGCTCTTAAGACACTTATCAACCAGATTATTGTTGACAAGCAGGTGAAGCAAAAACATATTAAGTTTTTGCCATCCATCTCTCTGATGCGAAGAGCCTTTTTTATTCACAGCATAAAGGACACAAAATTAATTAACTAATTGAAACACAAAGATGTTTGACAACTGACCCCCTGCAAGTGCCTTTTGTGAACTTTCTATTTGGCCAAGTGTTGACTATAAAAATAGAAATACTAAGGCATATAACCAAGGAGGAGGAACAAAAGCAGTCCTGCTGTGCACTAGCTAATCTAGTTGAAGGGCTGCTGTAGGAGGAAGTTGCAGTTAATGTTCTAACAAAATACTTGTAGCTTCAGGTAACCTAGTATTAGATACCCTGTATAGTGCTGACTGTCCAGTATCCTGGTGAGATTATAATGGTGACCAGCATCTCAGGCATGTTTCATCTACTCAAGGTCAAGGTAGCAAACTATCCATGGTAATGGCACTGGAAAACAAGAACTCACTTCTTCAGGTCATAGAATGACCCAATGAAAATGTTATCCTTGTGCCTGGCAGGCATGGCCCAGTGGTTGAACATCAATCTATAAGCCAGAAGGTCATGGTTTAATTCCTGGTCAGGCACTCAGGCCTTAAGTATGCTATCCAGGTTTTGTGTGAATATCTATTTTAGAGGTTTTGTGAAAACGACAGGATGGATTATATCACTTCTGCTGGTGACTCCAGAAATACTTTATTAAGGGGGTCTGAAATGCCTCAGGGTTAAGAAATCGAAACCTAAGGACAACTAATCACAAACTACCAGTAGGCTTGCCCATATACAGCACTTAGCCTGTAGCCAATCAAAATATCCCCTTGCTTTGCTTTAGTCTCTTCTCCATAAGTCTTTCCACTGGCTGCTATCCGTGGAGCACTCCTAACCTCTCCCTGGTTAGTGCTGCCTGATTCCAATAGATTTTTGATCAAATGAACTCTTAAAAATTTTAATATGTCTCAGTTTGTCTTTCAACACTACAAATATGCCCTATTCAAATCATTAGTAAGCATTTATAATCATTACTCATTGTGAAGGATACAAAAGAGGCATGTAGCAAAAATATAATGGCTAATATGTACTGAGCACCTGATATATGTCAAGTTAAATGCTTCACATTCATCCTCTTACATATCATTTATCAACTTCTATTGTGTGGAGATTGTAATCAATGGCTGACTTAATTATCCACTAGGCTCACTAGCCACAATGCCTGGGTTCCACAATACTTTTGTTAAGTCCAGGAAAATGTTTTAGTTTCTTTCAGAATTAAAAGGGAAAAGAAATAAATATAACCTTCCCTGGATATTAATTAGTCTTTGTGCTCACACAGTCATAACTATAATTCATAATATTTTTTATAGAGTAAGGGGCCTATTAAGGCAAAAGTGCCTTCAGGCTCTGAAAGTCATAATGCAGCCTTCACCATATTCATCCCCACTTACCAGATGAAGAAACTGAGACTCAATAAAATTAAGAAATAAAACTTGTCACACAGCTTGGAAGTGGCAGAAGTTATGTTTGGAGTCTGTAGGACCTCACCAAAGACCATTTTCATTACCACACTACACACTATACATTTTATAGCAAGAAGTTCTAAGTTGAGAAAATGAGTGGTTGTACATTAACCAATTAGAAAACACTTCTTGGAAAGAATATAATCAACTGCTTAAACTCAGGAACAGATCCAGATTATGTAAGATCTGAGGCTTTTACAACTTAAAAGATCTCCTTTAAGAAAAAAAAATACAAAATTATAAATAAAAATTGGGTACATAATCTTGGAGAGGGCTGTCCAAGTAAGGGGCCCTCAAATGTAAGCTCTTTAGTTCATGGCAAATTCGCCCCATCTAAATGTCCTTGGGCCTGAAGGATGCCAGAGAAGGAAGGATCAGAGTCGGTCAGGAATATCAGTAAAGGTTTTAAGGAGAAAGGGGACTTTGAAGTGTGGCTCTGGTCTGGGAACCCTGCAAAGTCTGGGGGGCACATATGAGCATAATCTGATCAGGGAAGGGCAGAGAACTCCACCTGGCTGAAACCCACAGCATGTTAGTGACGGGGGGGAGCGCAGGTTCACTCAGGAAGGTGGGGCCTATTTTAAATGCCAGGATGGACAGGCTGCTGGGAATCTTTGTGTGCTCCTGGGTCTCCTGCCATCACCCGGGAAAAGAAGCACAAGGATGAGGAATCTAGCGCCGGGGCAGGACTCTCGGAACGGGTGACAAGAAGCAAAGAGATGGAACTGGAGAACTAACCTGGGTGCGCTTTAATGAGCACTTCATAAATTACGGTTGGAAGGGAAGAGGCGGGAATAAAAAAGAAAGGAAAAAGGGAAAAGTAAGAATCAAAAAAGGATCAACCAAGTAGATACAAGGAATAGAAGGGACGAAGAGTCTGTGATAATTTTTACATTCTGAGCCTGGATATTTGAAGGAATAGTTGTGGGATAGCCAGAATTTCAAGGTTGGTTAGGTTTGGTTTTACCGTATAGAAGGTAAAGTCAACAAAAAAGATTGCAACAACTGGGCTACGTACATCCCCCGAGGAAGCTGAACCCCTGGGACAGGGATGCATCTGACCAGGGCCCGGCTTGACTCTGCTGACATTGTTAGCTTTCGCCCTGTTTTCTGCATACCAACTCTCCATCTGCTCATCACATTCTTTCTCAATTATGTTAACAGCTTTAGGGACCTTGCAATCAGGTCTCATTCTTCTTGCTGACTAGGAAGCATTTTGCCTTTTTTTTTTTTTTTTTTTTTAGACTGCTGGGCTTTAAAAAAATGTTTTATTATTATTATTCTAGAGAGAGGAAGGCAGAGGGAGAGAGAGCAACATCAATGGGCCGCCTCCCACACAGCCCCCACTGGGAATTGAGATCCCACCTCTAACCCTCGCCCCCCAGCACTATCCCCACCCCCAGCTCACACACCCCACCCGCCCACCAGGGATTGAGTCAGCAACCTGGGGATGTGTCCCAACTGGGAATCGTAGGACCTCTCAGTGTGTGGGATGACACTCAACCGACTGAACCACACTGGCCAGGGAGAAGCATTTTGCTTTTTAACATGACTTTTGTTAAACACTATATTATGAGATTAGTTATAATTTAACTCTGAGTTTCAGCCGGCTCTGTGCCTCTCCAGGTGAGTGGTCAAGAGGACTAGTCACAACAGAAACAGAAGGAAGAGAATGGATTTGAGAGGGCATGACAGAGCTATAAAAAATAGAAGGATGTGGAATTAGAAAGAGGGTGGAGGCTTTTGATGATTCAAACATCTTAGTATGTGTCAGGCTCTTTGCTTGGAACAAAAGCCATTCCTATGAGTGATGCATCTGAATGGCCTGAAGGCATCTGAATTTTCAAGATAGGTATTTGGGAAAGTGACAGGTCAGACAGAGGATCCATGGCAGCAGATTCTAGAGGGTGAGGAGCAGGATGATGAGTTTCGTGTTAGCCAGGTTATGTTTGGGGTCATGAAAATGTAAATGAGGGCCAGTACACAATTGTAAACATGGGGATGGAGTTTAGGAGAGAAGCCAGGGCAAGAGGTATGCACTGTAGAGTATACCAATCAGCAGGAAGTTACTGACCGAGGCAGGCATGGGGGTGAAAGCATTGCTTCCAAGGCTGATAGGCTAGCACAAGTGGGGTTACAGGTACTTCAAAAATTGGGGCATGATACATAATTGGTGAAAAAAAAAGGAGAAGAGTTAAAACAACTTGACCAGTGAATATAGTACAAACAAGTCATTTAAACTTGGAGGAGGGTCCACCTGAGATCTTACTTTTTGAGATATAAATTTCCCTGTAAGTAATACTTTACCTACATCCCAAAACTTGGATATGCAGTTTTTGTTGTTGCTCTTCTTCAAATATTAACCCATAAATTATTTGGATGTCAATTCTAATTCTACAGAATTCTATCGGTCATGACAGAGAGACCACGGGAAGACACCCCGCTCCATGATGTGACTGCTGCCTGACCTGCCTCACTGCCGCGGACCTTCGCACTAGATCAGCTAGATCTGAGCCAGAGCAGAGGTTGCTTCCCATAAACCTCTCAGAGACTGTCTGACCTCCGTCCTGTGCCCCAAGCAAGCTGGTTCCTGGAACAGGCTCTTGCCCAGCCCCTGTGTAAGTATGTAAGGCATTTCCCCCTTACCTGGGGCGGGTCACATGCTAGTATTCCTGTCCATCCTGTTTTGTCCTGTACAACCGCTTAGCACCTGCTGTGTAGCTCTGAGGATATCCATGTCACCTTGCTGCTGCCCACGATGAGCCTCGGATATAAATTCCCTTGATAAACTTATATAGTAATGCTGGAGTTGTCAGCCTCTTCCTTAAGGCTCTTGCCCTGAGAAATTTTACATAACAATGATAAATGGATAAATATAGATATACAGATTTGACTGGAGGGGACTTTAATACAGAGAATTGATTCCATGGTGACCATGTATTGAGAAACCAACTGGGGACACTGAGGCAATCCAGAGATTAGCAACAGCAGGAACCCATTACCACTTGTAGGTCTGAAGGGACAATAGAAGGAGGTGGCTTTACTCAAGCTTTAATCTGGAGTCATCTGAAGTGAGTTAGAGCTAAAGTGGGCACTTGTGTAGGAAGGAGGAAACAGCTTGTCTTTCCCTTCTTCCTCCCAATCTCAGGTCAGTGCTGTCAGTGTCTACCATTGTTGGAGACTTCCTGGATGCCAAAGCTCAAGGGAACCTGGGAATTGTAGTTCCTTTCAGAGGGGGAAGAATATGGGGAAAACCATGCAGAGGAGTTGAGTATCTTTTAATTACTGATTTGTGATTTTATTATATTATGGTCAAAGACTGTTATCTATATTATATGACTATTTGGTATTGGTTGAGACTCAACTTTGTGAGCTAGGACATAGTCAAGTTATGTAAATGTTGCACGTGTTGTTGAAAAATATTCATATTCTCTATCTTTGGTATGTGTATTCAGTGTTCCATATAATCCATCAGATTTGGTTTGTTAATTGTGTTATCCACACAGTAAAGATATCTTTTTATCTATACAACGATTTTGATGACATGAAGTCAGTTTTTGAAAGAAGTTTATTAAAAAGCTTTGATTATAATTGTGGATTTATCAAATTCTACATGTCAGCTACATGGAAAATAGTCTCTAAGGACAATGAATGAAAATAGTGGGAAGGCTAGTGCTGTGAGAGATGATGGTAGCCTGGCCCAAGATAGTGAGAATATAGAAAGAAAGGGAAAGAGAGAAATTAATGTTGATTCTGGCTTGGGTAACTGGATGAATGGCGGTACTGCTCAAATATATGATTGCCACTGATCAGCATTTTACCTTGTGCAAACTAAATAAACACTCTGGGCTTAGTTTTCTTATTTATAAAAATGGGTTTAATAGATTGTATTTCATAGGATTATTGTGATGGGGAAAAGAATTAATATACATAAAGTAATAGCACAATATCTAAATAACTGTTTAATATTTTTTTCTTATTACCAACTAGGATATAGTTAATGGAGAGAAGTTTGAATCAAGATTTCCTCCTGAGGCTCATTATATTTGAGTTGATTTGTAAGTTATCTTTCAATAAAGAGGGTCTAAGTCATCTCAGCACATACTGTTAAGGTATGAAAGAGGATAGAAGTAAGAAAAGCCACTGGAAGGTCAAAGGCAACTTTCAGGAGTTGGCAGAATCAAGGGAAGATTTTCTTAAGGTGGGGAGAGAGGATTATGGTTCCAGGCAGAGAAGAAGGAGCCATTTCAGGGGGAGACAGAATCACTGCCTACATGTACTTTCCTGTTGGTGTTTGCTTTGCAGTGTTAAGTGTTGTTGTCTGGCTTGGTTCTGAGTAAGACAGCTCGTCATCTCCACAAGGCAACAGAAGAGCAGAGCTCTGGAAAAAATGACTGCAATTAACAGATCAACATTAACTTAAAGAACAACATTAACTACCTTGTGTGTGATTTATCATATCATCAGCAAGCAGATTACTCTAGTGACAGGTTGTTAAGAAGTCTGTATTAAGCGTTTGGTACAACAGGGAAAAGTGATTAACTTGAAGATTCCTGAGCACATATGTTTCCAGCTTTGAGCGACTATGTGGAATGAAGACTGAAATTATGAATTCCACAGTATGCACTGTCTTGGCAGAGTTTAGCGTGAGATTATGCATGACTACACCGTCCCTACAAGTTTGCACAGGCTTGGGAATTTTCTTATTAAGGTTGTTATGCAATCTGTTGGCATACAAATGCCTAGAAAAATATTCCCAGGAATATTAGTCTTGACTTACAATTATGTTTCCCCCTTTAACTAAGTTAATGCCAAACTACTTTTTCTGTTCTATATTGTTAAGGAGAAAAATAGTACTTAATTTTAGATCCTCACCTAAGGACATGTTCTCATTTATTTCAGAGAGAGAGGAAGGGAGAGAGAGAGAGAGAGAGAGAGAGAGAGAGAGAGAGAGAGAGAGAGAGAGAGAGAGAGAGAGAGAAACATTGACCGGTTGCCTTCTGTACACCTCCCGACTGGGTATTGAACCTGCAATCTGGTTATGTGCCCTGATCTGAAGTTGAACCCGTGACCTTTCAGTGTATGGGATGATGCTCCAACCAACTAAGGCACACCAGCCGGGATAGAAAACATCACTTTAAGATATTGTAACTGGAGCCATCTTTCATAAATCAGTTTTAGATCTATCACAAATAAATTATAAGCTAGATTTAATTATGAAGCCATTAACACACTTCATATAAATAAAAAATGAAAAACAAGTTATGTTTAAAGATAGAAGATTTAACAGGCATTTCTACTTTTTCATATTCTTGGAACCCCACTAACACAACCTGTGAAGGAACAGTTTAAGGCCGAAACTCGATGAATGGAGAGAGTGGGAGAAGAGATCAAATATATGGTGATAGAATAAACAGAGCTGAGAAATGGAATCTAATCAAGTAGTGGAGAAGATTAAGAACTAATCCGATTTCCAGAATATCCAAAGCCTTAGAAACTAACGGCAGCAGGCACTTACTGGAAGTGCGTATAAAAGGGGTGTGCATTCAATAAGAAGTATTGTTGGTAAGTCTGTTTAGAAGGAACTGCGTCCCTATACCCCTCCCTAGATCCATGCAGCATCCCGGAAATTGCCCTTTCTTAATTGTCAAAGAGCGATGGTTCATTTTCAGAATGACATAAAATAGGTGGTCTGCATGGAGGAATACCAGTGCAGCTGAGGCTCAGGGGTCCGTACTAACAATAGGGGATTAAATGAATGTATGCATATTAGCTTTGGAGACAACATGCCACATCTGTTTTCTAGAAAGTCTAGAAAGCTAGACTTTCACCCTCCTGGCAGGACACTGGAAGAGTCTTTTCTTGGAAATATGGCTAGTCTATGATGAAAGATATGACATTGAAAAGATACTGAAATTCTAAGTTTCCGCTTTAAACTGCCCATTCTGATGCTCCTACAGAGAAGCTCACATCAGACCAACATCTCTCATATGCTCAGGGCTTCTAGCCAGTGTTCTAGTGTTCTAGTGTTTCATTCTTAAATATCATAGGATACAAAGACTGAGATATTGAGGAAAGCCTTGAACCTGGAAGATAGAAAATCAAATAAAGAGAAACAAGTAATGTTGAAGAAATAAAGGTAAAATAAACGCCAAATATCTCACAAAGAAAAGCTACTGTGGCCAAAACCGGTTTGGCTCAGTGGATAGAGCGTCGCCCTGCAGACTGAGGAGTCCCAGGTTCGATTCCAGTCAAGGGCATGTACCTGGGCTGCGGGCACATCCCCAGTGGGAGATGTGCAGGAGGCGGCTGATCGATGTTTCTCTCCCATCGATGTTTCTAACTCTCTATCTCTCTCCCTTCCTCTCTGTAAAAAATCAATAAAATATATTTAAAAAAAAAAAAAAGAAAGAAAAGCTACTGTGATCATGAAACAAGAACAGAATTCTACCCAAATATAAATTAACAAGCAAGTAGATAAATGGAACATAACCAAAACATAAAGAAGGTGTTGGAAATTAAAACAATAGCAGAAATGGCAATTTTCAATAGAAAGGTTGAAATATAAAGTTAAGAAGTTTTACCAGCCAAAAGAAAAAGAGATGGAAAATAGGAGATAAAAACTAAGATAATTAGGAAACTGATCAAGGAAGATGAGCATTTTTTAAAAAATAGGAAAATGTAGTGCACCACATAAATCTCTTTGGCCACCATTTCATTGCACACTAGCCCGTCCTCCCAAGGGCCAGCAATAAATCTCTTTGTAGAGGGTTTTCTGTGGCCACCAGGGCCTGATCTACCTATCGTGTGTTTAGTGCTGATTTTCCTTGTCTTTGTGGAAACAGTCTTCAATGGGTGATTGGCAGGTGCTAACTGTCAATTACTGATAAAAGTATTCTAGTTCTCTTACAGCCCACGTGAGATAACTGCAGTGCATATTCTTCACTTGCTCCCAGAACTCCCCAGGCAGGATTGTACTTAATAGTCCAAAATATTGACTTGCTTGATAATGAACTTTTTATTGGCTTCCTTTATTTCTGTCTCAATTCTCTACTCCCCTACTGGTGTTTTCTTGGATCACCCCCCAAATAAACTGACTGCACTTACAAAAAGGAAAGAAACAAAAGAAAAGTAATAAAAAATAAGGAAAGAAAGAAGGAAGGAAAAACAGAAAATGGAGAGGAGGAGAAAGTTAATAATCTGAGTTTCTAGACTGAAACATTTACCCAGTGAAAACAGACTCAGGCAAATGCAACAACACTGTGAAATTTCAAACAATGAAGGCAAAGAGAAAAACCTTCAAGACTGTAAAAAGGAAAAAAATATCCAGGTCATATACAAAGGATCAGCAAGTAGTGAGTAAAAAATTGCTCCTCCAAACTTAGATGAAGACAATTGTTTTGTAGTCATGATAATAAATAGCCATCAAAAGTTGGTTTTGAACTTATTTAAATGTCTATCAAAGTCAACTCCCCGCAATGAACCAATCAGCATCAGTCATTCGCTTCTGAACACTGACCAGTCAGGGGCAGACTTACTCCAAAGGAACTATGATTCTACTGATGATGCCAATAAAGCCTCTGAAAGTCCACCAGTCCCTGAACTCCATGCTTCCCCA